GTTGCAGCAAAGTAGATTCAGTAAGTTATTAGAAGGAATTCCATGATGATAAGAGCTGTCATGAAGTGATAAATTTTTCTTCATCAGAAGTCTTCAAGCAAAGGCTGAAATGGTTTTGCAGTTCCTGCATTGAGCAGTGCATTGGATTGCTTCACCTTCCAGTGCATGGTTATGTGATGAAGATAGAAAGCTTTGTCCATGGTGATTGTGTGGATTGCACTGGACCTACCTGGATTAATAGCTATTTGCCAGTTGGTTTTATACCTACTTTTTGCCCTGCAGGCTTAAAGCCAGTTTGATGAAGATGCTGGCCTAGAAAGCAGGAGACGGTGAGTTCTAGGTCTCCCTTAGGCAGGAAAGTTGACTCTGTGACTTTGGGCCAGTCCCTCTCTGTCAGCCCAACCCACCTCACAGGGTTGTTGTGGGGAAAATAGGCAGGAGTGTTAGGCGTGTTCACCGCCTTGAGTTGATGATAGACAGACAGACATGGGATAAAAATATAACAACAACAATTGTAAACTGCCCAGAGTGGTTTTTTAACAAGATGGGTGGTGACAAATGTGATATATAAATAACTTTAATAATAATAATAACCTCTTGATCTGTTTGACAATATGGAACATGACATCTTACCACTTCAGGACCTCGCCAGAATTCAAGGCTTCCTCATCTCTGTATAATGTGTATTGTCTTGCTAACAAGATTTGAATCTATCTTTGTCTTCTTTTCTGAAAAGAGCAAGGACTTCAGTTCAGGTACCTATAGCAAGGAAGTCCACAGGCCCTTGAGGCCATCATTGGCTTTCCGTCTGAGAGGTTCGCATCATGAGGTTAATCAGAGGGAGAAACAATCTCTTCCTAATAATCTAGTGGGCCACGATCCAAATTTGTAGCCCTCAGTTGCCTCCCACTTGCAAATGACAAAGGTCCTTTTGCAGAATGCTTCTGATTCCTGAGAATAAAAAGGAGTAGAATTTGTCTTGAATCTAGAAAATAAAGCTTCACATTGAGATGCTTTGCCTTCTGCACATGAACACACAAAACTGAGGAAGAAAAATTGTGGTTCCCACTCAAAATGTGCATCATTCTGGATGGTGTTCTCTCCTGCCCACTTCCTGATCTGCGGATGCTGTCTCTCAAGGGGAAGAGATGGCAAGGAATGGGTTCACACCCCTTTCTTTTAAAACAGAAAATTTTATCTTTAGATTTTTCTCTTTCTGCTTGGTCAGTTCTATTTGCTGCTTCTTCCCTGTCCCAAAATGCTGTCCTCCCCTCTTCATTTTTGCCCTCTTGGCCCCACTGGCCACTTGGTTCGATCGTTCTATTTTTCTGCCTGCTTTCTCTTTTTTTTCCTATTTGTCAGGTGTACAATACCACACAGTTCATTTCTCTTAGATGCTTTTTCTTTCTATAAGAGAGCCCTCAGCCTTTTGATTCATTTTTTTTTTTTATTGGGGGACATTTTCAGTATTTGGAATGGTGCTGGGAACACACTCCCAGAAGCGCACTAGGACTGGCGACAGGATGGGATGACATGAAAAATGGATGGATCATATGAATGCTCATTTCAAATGACTGGTTCCATATATCTTTGCTTTCCCATGCCAGGAGCTAGCATCTGCCTTAAATAATGGAAGTGAGAAACCAGAGCATCTAGACTTGTTTCATGCTTGAAAGGAAGTAGAAACATCACCTGAGACCACCACCAAGCCAAATTCTTAGCACTAATTTGTGGTTTGGGTCCATTAAAATGGAAGGTTTGTAGTTCACCATAGACCGCGTTTAGGGAATTAGGCAGCAGCTTCCTTCATGTAAGGATGCGTGAACTGTAGATTGCCCTCTCCTACAGTAGGTGGCCATAATTCTCCGAGTCATTTCCTGTGACCCAGAGCAATATTTTGCAAGGGCTGATGGTGCCCTGGCATGGTGGTGTCAGCCTGGCAGCCCCCCTGGGGCAGCAGGGCTTGGCTGGCCGGGCTGCAAGTTGGTGACCCAAAGCCTCTCTCTGAGCAGCGCCATCAGCTGGGGGCCCCGCCACCCTTCTGCTGCTGAAGGACTCTGCCCAGCAAGCGAGGAGAGGAGAGAAGCTGAGTGAGTGAGGAAGAGGGTGAGAAAAGAAAGATCTCTCTGTTCAGAAGGAAGAATTTCCTAGATTATATCATCCTGAAAAAATATTACCCATCAACCCAAGTTATAAAACCAAATATTGGTGGTCTAGTTATTGAAAAATGCTGCCAGCTATGTGGCCAAATCTCTGTTTCATAATCAAGTTTTTCATTTGAATAGATTTATGCTTAACAGCATACTGTGATCCTCTTCATTTTGAACTTACTAAGACTCTTAGTAAATCTTTTTACTGAAATTTTGTTCTTCTTTCCTAAATAAGGTTTATTTGCTCATTAGCATAAGAGAAAGGAAATAATGTAATGAAGAAAAGAAAAAAAATGTGGAATGACAGAATAAAAGGGAGGATTAGTTAGCTGATAGAGAAGTAAAGGAAGTCAGAAAATGAATGGGAAACATTTTTAAAGGCAATAGTACTTTTTGCTCCATATTATGGACTTCAGTGGTAGTAGCAAACGCAACGCCTTTTGTATCATTGCTCTGTGTAGAGCAGTCCAAATGTCATACAGAACATTTTTTCCAAGTGGCAAAATAAAAAAATTTCTTTGTGGTAGAAATGCAAGCTGCATTCTTTGCAATAATTACTCTGAATAGACCTTACTTCCCTGTAACAGCATGTTTCTCGGTTAGATTAGTAACATCAGTCTTGAATTACCTGTGGCCCCCTATCTGCTTCTGGAATTTTAAATGATGCCCATGGTTAGAATAATTTCTAACAAAATTCGGCTTGGCAAGAATTTCATGTTTCTCTCAAATGCAAACCTGGAGTTGCCTATTCATTTCTCATATGCAACTACTTCAGGAGACCAGCTTAAATCTTGAGTTGTGAGGAACATTAGAGACCAGTCTGAGGCCAAGGCTGCAATTTCCCTGTACGCTTTTGTGGGAGTCAGTAGAACTTTCTCCTGAGCAAACTAGCGCAGGACTGTGGCTTGAAAGCATATTGAATCAGAATGCCAGTATTTATGCTGTTTCTTAAATGTTAGATTATTTTAATATGACAAACATTATTTCAGCATTCTGAATGCTCCAGTACTGTACAGTTAATGCTGATTATCAGTGCCCTCAATATTAAATTTGGTTTAAAAAGTTACACCAGAAATGTAGAATTCTGAATCATGCATACATTATGCAAATTGAATAATTGATTAGTTAAATTGCATAATGTGTGTGTTCTTCTTTTAGGTTCTACATAAATTTTACAGTTCTGCTTCATCAAATGCCGAAACTTTCTTCCCAAACCTGAAAATTATGCTTTGGTGGCAGAGATTTCAGTTGCCATCATCCTTATACCCTTAGCTATCCCTTTAGAAGAAAAAAACTTCTTGAAACAGCACGACGAGACTGTTAGGAAAGTAGGACTAATTTTATATCACATTTTACAAATTATTTTTGCTTTTATGAAATTTCAGTTTACAGATAGCTTGAAACCTATTAAAAGTAATTTGTTCAGTGTGTTGAAATGATCTGTTCAAAAATAAAAATATTCCAGTACAAATTGAGATTGGTTTTGATGGAATTTTGATGGGAAGGTCCTTTTGTTTGGATTTTTCTTTTGTCCTGTTTAGTCCTGAAGCCTGCAAAGTTTCAGGACTAAGCTTACTATAAAAATTATATTCCTTTAGATGGAAGACTGTTAAAAACAAAAACAAAACAGAATTCTGTTGAAATAATATTTTATTATTGTCATTTGCATAGTTGTATTTAAAAGCATCTGGAAGCTGTTAACGAAACATGTTGTAGTATAAAAATAACAGTATAGAAACTACATAAGTAAAAAGAGGAGGGGATGAAAAGCAGAAATAAAAACCATCCAGCATTTCTACTGAGAGCTAAAAATGGGAAAAAGTTGGTGCCGCACCTGTGTCAGGGGAAAGAGCCACCAGAGAACAGAAACCAGAAGACGTATATTTTAAAATTATGTCCTGCTGGATAGTAATGGTTCAAATCCAGATGTACCTGGGCTTCCTCCTTTAGCTGGACGCATGACCTGTGATTGTAGCAGCTGATAGACATTTCAGCCTGCCTGGCTAATCTGGAACATGGAACATTAATTCTTTTAATTTTAATATGACATGATAAAGTCCCGAAGTGATGAGATGAAACTGCTGAAAGTGAATTCAACAAGTTAAGTAGAAATTACAGAAAGGGGAACTAGGAAACCAGTGCATCTGCCTAATATTGAATTGAATATTGAAACCTCTGCTGCCATCTAGTGGTAGGTATAAATTAGCAGTACAGCAGTCTTTAGATCAGTGTTTCTCAACCAGCAACTTTAAGATGTGTGGACTTCATTCCATGCTGGCTGGGGGTTCTAGGAGTTGAAGTTCACACATCTTAAAATTGCTGAGATTGAGAAACACTACTTTAGATCACTGAAGACAGGAGAGGAGAGGAGAGGAGAGGAGAGGAGGAGGCCCAGTATCTTTTTGTAAGACGCCATCCTCTTCCTATTGTCCAAGCTCCTAAAAAGTAGCAGTCTCTATTAAAATAGTGCATTTTCTTTTCATTTCTTTTCAGCACTCTTGACATTCAAAGACAGCTTCTGAAAAGTGAGGGCTACTTAATCAGGGTTCTGTGTGATCTGCCTGTTTTTATAGTTCCTTCCACCCTCGTGGGTCTGCTGTTCCTGGGTTTTGCCGAGCTGGCAGGAGCTGCCTTTTCTCTTAATCCCAGTTTACGCCTTACCCTTTCCCCCAAGACTTGATTCAGAGGCCAAGTAGGCATGAAGCGCCTTTGATTGCAAAGGGTGCAGGCAACAGAGCCATGTTCTGAATTGCTTTGGATGTCTAGCGCATTAACTTAGGCGCAAAGAAAAGCTGTATTTTATGTATACGTAATTAAATGTAATTTTTACGGTTTTTTCATTCATTTTAGGTCAATAACATTGGGAAGCTCAAAGATTTTCTTCTGCAGCACAGGAAAGATTATATTAATGCCTATAGGTAAGTGTCATGGTTAAAAAAGTGGAAACTATGACAGTTGTGAGGAAAAAAATTGTATGAATAGACTAACGCCATTTTTAAAATGCTCATGTGCCAGTTTCCCAGTCTGATTACTGAATTTAGTGGTCCTCTGCTCATGGTACAAAGTTATTGGCTTAACTATCTTTTTTTTTTTTTTTTGGTAATTTATTAAAAGTTTTGGATAGAACAATAAAAATACAAACTAAAAAGAAAAAAAGAAAGGAAAAAAAGGTGCAAGAAAGTAGAAAAAAGAAAAAGAACCCCCCCTCCCCCAAGAAAGCAACTTCCCACCCTCATCATGACAAGTATAAACCATTTCATAATCTCTTCACCTTCTCTTAGTTAACAAATATAAAACTCTTCATCCCATAACCCATTTCTTAAAAGGTAAAAATAAGTAATGTCCTCTCCAATCCGATTATCAGCAAAAAGTCCAAACAGAGCGCTAAAATATTTACATTAATTCACATATCTTAAGCTCAACATTCCATATCTTAACTTTTAACTGTAAGCAAAATCCCGTTTATAAAATAGAAACCAAAATTTAACAATGACAAAGAGACCTTATCTTCTTTACAAAAGACAAGCTCCAATACACAACATCTTTCCCATTCAAAATACCAATTCCAAAGAGAACTACCCCAAACAGCAACTCAGCCCATTCATTCCATATCTCAACTCTAAATTATAAACACATCCACATTTCGCAAGTATAAAATAATCCTAGTATCCTGATATACTGTAAATAAAAGACTAAACATTGACATAACAAAGGGAAATAATTTCTCCTTTAAAAAGATAAGTTCACCGAACTTCTTTACTTTGAGTAAAAAGACAGATGCAAAGCCAGTTTGGGCACTATAAAGTTAGGATACATAAAGTAACTACAAGTAGTCGTTGCTTAATGATCATTTAATGATGGTTCAAAGTTATGATGGCCTCAGGAAAAGTGCTTTATAACCTGTACTCACACTTATGACCATCGCACCAACTCCCCATGGTCATATGATTGTGATTTGTGCCCTTTTTACAACGGTTTTAAAATGAACCATGTGGTTGTTAAGCGAATCACATCATCAGTTGAATTCCAGCAAAAAAATCTATTGGGAAAGCTGGATTCGTTTAATGACCACATGATTCAGTTAATGACCACGGTGATTTACTTACGACTGTCGTAAAATTGGTCATAAAATTGGGTCCAGTCACTTGGTGACTCATGTAACGACCACCCCACTTAATGACCAATTTCCTGGTCCCTATTGTGGTAGTATTAAGCGAATACTACCTGTACAAATAGTCCTTGACTTATGACCACAATTGGGATTGGAACTTCCGTCATTAAGCAAGTTGCACCTGATTTTATGGACTTTTTGCTGCAGTCGTTAAGTGAATCATCGCAGTCGTTAAGCAAATCACATGGTTGTTAAGCAAATCTGGCTTTCCCCAATGACTGCTTGTCGGAAGCCCCCTGGGAAGGTTGCAAATGGCAGTCACGTGACCCTGGGATGCTACAACCATTGTAAATACATGCTGGTTTCCAAGCACCTGAATTTTGATCCTGGGGATGCTGCACCAGTCATAAGTGCGAGGACCAGTTGTAAGTCACTTCTTTCAGCACCATCGTAACTTCGAACAATCATTAAACAAATGGTCATAAGTTGAGGACTACCTGTATAGGGGAAAGAACTAAAACACCTTATTAAATGTAAACAAATCCAGTATACCACATTTTTCCAGTTAAGATATCAGCAAATCCAAAAAGAACCACACAGAATAACAACATGTCCCATTTTATGCCTGGTCAAATAAACTGACATTGTATTCCTTTTTTTCTATACAGAACAATCTTTCTCTGAAATCTAGTCAGATGGTTGTTGATCCTTGCTACAAATTTCTTTCATACTTTAAACAGTCCCTTTTGTGAATCCAACAAAAAGAAATTATTCAAATTGCTCTTTGGGATTGTCACCCTTATTTCCTTCTTAATTTTTAAAGCCTCATCCAGTTTTCTCTTTATATTTGATGACAGGTGCTTATTCAGAGTCTTGTTCTTGTGTTTCTTGGGTAAATTTTGCTGCATATCTTGTTCTGTAACATCTTCTGGGAACAGACTGTTACCAAGAAAGCAGAACGTAGCTGATATCTATATACTACTAAAACTCATGTCTGTAACTTTCAAGTGGGCGAAACTGCCAATCATAGGGCAACTATTTTTGAACCTAAGTACCTCAAATGGGCTAACTTACACAATGCATCCAAAATTCTGGGACCCTTTACTCCCGTGGGATTGAAATTTGGCAAAGTTGTGGCTGCTTCAGTACTGCCACAGTCACATGATCATTATTTCCAGCACTCCCTGACAGCTTCCCACAAGTCAATGGGAAAGTCTGCAGGAAGTCTAAACAATCAAGTTTAGATCGCCAGCACTCCCTGCCAGCTTTCCACAAGCAAAGTCAGTGGGCAAGCTGGCAGGAAGTTGCAAGCCCAAGGCCAACAGGCAGATAGGTAGCTGGTGCCAGGTGGGGGAAGGAGCAAGGGTGTGTGCAAGAGGTGCAGTGAAGGTTGGGGAGGATGCGCAGGGGTGCAGCATAGGTTGGGGAGAGTGCACGAGGGTGCAGGTCAGGGAGGGTGCAGGGAGTGTAGCGGGGGTTGGGGAGAGGGGAGGGTGTGCGGGGTGTGGCAGGGGTTGGGGAGGGTGTGCAAGGTGTGGAGGGGGTTGAGAAGGGTGTGTGGGAGGGAAGGAAGGAAGGAAGATTTGGGGACGGTGAATAGGGATGGGAGGGAGGGA